CCCCCCCATGGACATGGTCAATACATGCACTTTAGTTTAGTTTTTTTCACAACACTGAACCTGTGTATTCTATGGCACTTGTATTGTATTTATTTATTATTGGGTAGTATAAGGTTTTAGCTCTGCTACACTGGTAGCCAAGTAACGACATTTCGTTGTCAAGATTCACCTTGTGTTTTTTTTGTACAATGACAATAAAGGAAGTCTAAGTCTAAGTCTAAGTCTAAAAAGCAGCAATATCTGTTTAATTACCTTTTCAGAAAAACAAAACATGCTTACTTGGTCATATTAAGCTCTGTACAGCCTCTCCCGACATAAACAAATTCCTAACCTTTCCAATGGTGCTTTAGAAGCCAGGCATCAGACAGATAAAAGCCTAAGAAAGCAGAAACCTCCAGCTAAAAATAATACCTCCTAAAGAGGAAGAACGTTATTTGCCTATTTCTGGTTACATTTGGGACACATAGATCCCTATTGGTATCTGGAGTGTGCTCAAAAGTTTATATATGCACTTATTGAGATCATTAGCCATTTATTTAAAGCATTGTCTAAGCTACAATTGGATTTTCATTTGCATTGCAGGTTTCTTGGGAACAGTCTGGACAATGCAAAAGTATAATAATCTCAAAAGCAAATGAAATCTAGTTTTGAAATAAAAAATAAAAATAAAAAAGGCTAACCAACTTCCAAAATGCCTCCCAACCTCCATCACAAAGATGATAGTTGGACTACATAAAAATAAAGTAAAATTTAAAAAAAAAGCTAACCAAATCAATATCTAAAATTTATCTCGAATGATGCAATAAGCTTGCTAATGTGCATAAAAAGCATGTGGTACTGTTGCAATTTGTTCAGAAACCTTAACCTCAGATACTAATGGTGACATTGAGGTTCACCACAGGTTAGAGCTATATTTTGAATTTTGTCGAGGTGTGAATGAGAGAAAATCTACACCAAATCAAACATTCTGGATTTTGCTTTTAAGTTGTATTGGAATATTATTACTCCTAACCAAATGCATGTTCAAGTAAGATCGATAAAGGTCCAAAATTAATAGGATATTCAAGATGGTAATGAGTGTCTCTAAAAGTAAAACTAGAACGATAACATTTACAGTTGAAATTCATACCAAAAATGCTCCTTTAAATAACAGTATAAGGTGTTGCCTTTTTTTCTGTAAATAAAATCTTATTTCTATCTGACTGACCTTTTGTTGCCTTTCCGTCAGTTCAGACTTCTGAGGCTAATCTGTGGTTGTGGGCCAAAGAAATGACCCTGGTCGAAGTAGACAGTGAGTCTGAACAATCCGTTTCTGTAGTGAAGATTGAGAGTAAGGCCTCTATAATTACATCTCCCTACATACTGACTCAGATCACACAACCTGCCTCTCCAACTGTAATTACATTAAGTGTTTTCAGTGTCTTGTTTCAACCCCATGCATCAAACACAGGACCTTTAACTACATACTCAGAGAACTCACAGAACAATACTGCAGACTAAATTGTCTTTCCATGATACCAAGTACAATTGTTACCAAATCAAATATAGCAAGACTATGACACAGGGGGAAAAAAATTGGAAGGATTTATAGATGAGACCAAAAATGTCAAGTAAGTTGAAATAATCATTCTAGAATTTTTTAACAGTCAAGTTAAAAACTATTCAAGTGAAAGCGGAACAAATCTACAACTGTTCTAACCAAAGTTTCAAAGAAAAAGAAGAAGCATGACTGACAAAATACCCTCAATATTTTACATTTCAAAATAATGAGACTTCAATTGCCACAATTTATTTTATCCTTATTAACCACACTACAAAACAGAGTGTAAGCATCTGCAATCACAATCTCATCCTTCTCACAAAGTCTACAAAACAACACAGTTCATGCCTAACAGCAGGTTTCTGTCTCTGCTTTGTCAAACAGATTAATGATAAATTATGAAGACATGCACATCTTTTGTCACAGCTGTGAAATTTACACAAAATACATAAAAGGGGAAACACAAAAAAGGTTCCTTGGGATTCAATGTGATTACTTATTTAGATTTTTGTAAAACTGATGTGGAGGAAATCATCTTTCAGCACAATTGGTCTGACACAGATCTTTGGTTTTAGTTTTCAGTGCTGATGCAAATGATATCATTTTATAAGGCCTCTCTCACATGTTCTGCTTATTTGTTGTGCTTCTTCTAGCCAGAAGTCCCTGAAGTAGTAATCTTCTGCAATAGCTTCTTTAGGTTCTAGCTCACACAAAACTACTGTATGCACACCCAAGTTGTTCTGTAACATTTTTTTCTTGACAAAAAAAAAAAAAAAAAGCCAAACACTGTTCTTCTGACAAACATGCAGGACAAGTCATTGTTTTTTCTGTCTCTTCCTTTTTGTCATGTGCCTCAACTTTTAACATACCAGCAGAGAGTCTGAGATGTAGCTCTTGGATATTTTCCAGTTGCTCGGGGTGAACTCTCTGGGACATTCACTCCACTGCTGGCAGCTGGCTTGAATATTTTTAAACTTTTAGAATGACAGACTCCAAACATGATGTTCAGTTTTCACTCATTTTTTAGGCAGTGTGGGGTAGTTTTTGTTCAGTAACTACATGTGGGCTGTTAATTTAAATGTGCCTAATTTTATGACCAAAACATTTTTTAGATTAAGTCCTGATAAATGTCACACTTGAAATATGAACTTAATAATTATGTTTTAAATGATCAATACATAATTTGCTCACACTTTACACCACACTAATGATATTTTTATGTTTTATCATAAAGCAAATTGGGAAGTCATCACTTTATGATACAACCATCTACATAGACTTTCCTTTATTATTTTGCCTTTTATTTTTCATACAACTCAGTAAATGACTTGCAGATATTTAACTTTTATTTGGGTTTACATAGATATCATTCAATCCAAATCACTTCAGTTGGTTGCAAAATTTTCCACAAGCAGAAAATAGCAAAGGTTAGGATTTAGTCTGTCACCAAATATTTTGCCAGATGTCAACACAGAAAATTATGCCTAGAGAGGTTAAGATTTGGATAAGTGTCACCTTTATTTATAACTGATTCTCTGATTCTGTTTGGTAAATTTCTGTTTTCCATGTTCTTAGCCCATGAGGTATACTGGCAACTTCATGCAAATAATTAGGTCATTTCCAAACTCACACCAAATTCACATTCTGAGATTTTTAAGACCATGAACAAAACCTCTCTCCCTTTTTCTGTAGTTTCAACACTATTTGGAGTTGTTTCCATCAGCGCAAAACACTTGGAAAGCAATAAAAAGCTGAAAAGGGTGCAAAGAAAAGACTCCTGCTTTTTCCACCGAGACATCATCCCCTTTTAAAACCATGTCTAAAACTTTCCAGTGCTTCTTTTTGCCCTCCATTCAAGCACCTTTTGAAGTTACAGCCACAGGAAATGCAGCATCTCAATATTTTCTACTGGTATTCACTTGAAAGATTGCATTTGTGTTGCAGTTTTGGGTCCATCTGACCAATTGCATCTGATGGAAGCTACTCCACCGAACTATGTCCAGGAGTTGAGGGATTGTCACAGTGAAAACTTGATTCCATGTGTCAGATGCCATTTCTTGATCAAATATTTTGCATGTTGAATTTATTCTACATCGGGATTGACCATCTGTGCAAGAGTTTTTAAGTCACTGTATTTGAAGTTGATATGTCACAGCCACGTGACAAAAAGGCTTCTGAAGATTTGTGCCCGCTCAAGGAAGCAAAACTGAGTAGAGTCCAAGAAAAAGAAAGGGCCTTTTTTTTATAGAAGACCTTTCTCAAAATTGTATAAGAAAGATGGGGAGGAAATTCAAAGGCTAAGGGAGACTCTGGATGACATAAATCGGGGGATCCAACATAGCTTTGGTACATTGAACCAGAACTATGAGCCTCTTCAACAAAATTTTTAAAAAACTCCAGATATTGTAGAAAATGTAGATGCTTGTACTGCATTGATGACTGAGACATTTAACATTGTGTGCAAGCATTTAGAAAGTGGTATCATTTAAGAAAAAAAGAGGAAGCTGAAAAGGGATGGGCAAGAATCAGCATAATTATAAATTATTATAAAACCATTTCAGGGGACTCCTGAAATGTAGGAAAGGTGCCACTTCCTGATGTACAGGCTGCTTATCAGTTACTAGCTCTCATGTTTTCCAAGGGCGAGTAGTGGCAGCAATCAAATTAGTTAAAAGTTAAATCCATTATGGAAATAGTAGCTCGACATGACAAACTAAGATAGCCAAAATAGCTTTTAACGTCCAAGTAAAATATTTCTGACACCATCTACTTTAAAACTCTAAACACAGGGAAAGTGAATTTCTCAATAAAACCATCTGTCCTCCATTTCCACACACTTTATTGGGAGAATGGAATTCTGCAAAATGAATACTTTGATGCAACTGGCTGCATTTACTTGATAAATAACATGTCATTAATTGTCAATATAGAGTGACTGGATTTGAATCTCTCCCTGTATTTGAATTAAACTGAATTTCTTTCTTTTGGATATGAACTGGATCAGTTTATCTTTTATTTTCATCAAAATCCACTTTCAAGTGGAGAGGCGCTAAATAAACTGAATTCAATACTTGTTGCTGTCTTTTCTGTCACTTTTTGCTCCCACTTACCTCTCTGTTAAAAGGCTTAGATAAATCCTCCAACTCGTCAGAGGGTTAAAATGACAATCTTCTGCATAATTCTGTAGGTCACAACATTTCTGAGTCTAAACTTTTGTTAGTCGTTCTCACACCACACTTTCCTAAGGAGCTGAACTTTTGAATGTGGGCAAACTTTATAAAAAAAAAAAAAGAAATAAATTCTTGATGTACATCACCAAGTATTACATTTAAACATTTAAACTGAAATACGAACAGAAACAAAATTCGACAATTTTGTAATTTATTGGAATGCACCTGTATGTTAAATAGATCCCCTGGTTTTGAAAGACTGTCAGCAGTGAAATGCACCAAAAACGTACTTGAACAAGCAGCTGTTTTCCCAGGGGTAACTGTGAACTTGCTGCCACGACCCCGGATTTGACAGACAGTTGGTGAAGAAAGTGCAGACTAAGTCTCCAAAGTATTGTGTCCTCCTCCGCCCACTACTTTTCTTTCTTGTCGGTTTCACGCACTCCTTTCCTTTTGGTAACACAAATACACAAAACAACAACCAAATCCCACAAAGAGCAAGAAAACCATCAGGCACGAACCAAAACTTTGGATTAAAACAAATAATAAAGAAAAACTTGCTCGAAAGTTGCTCGCCTGACTCTCCACCACACTGCGACATATTCAACAAATAACAAACAAGCAGCTGAGTGCTTGTTTTTTTTTTAAGTCCAGCCAAACAGCCGGTAAGATTCTTGAAAACCTGTTTGGACACCTAGAATGAGAAACTTACATGTAGCGGCAACAGAAGTAGCGGTGCAGGCCACAGGGTTTTCACTTCGTCTCTTTGTGAAACCGTTGTGCGGATGGCATTATGATGCAGAGCAGAGGCTCCGCCCAAAGGGGAGGGGAGCTTATTTATGATCAGTGCGGTTATCAGTGCGCCTTGGGGTCCTTCCCCCAGTCCAAAAACAGTTTAGTGCGTTTCACTAAACCCTTTACTTTCCTCACTCTTGTGTTTTTATTTTGCTTACTGCTTATGCTGAGTGAGCAGTAGTTAGAGCTCCCATAAAAAGATTGTGCAGTTTGTGTGAACATTAGTCACAGTGCTAAACATATAGCAGTGTGTAAACACACTGAAAACTGACAAATTGTGGAGCAAAACCACAATTGGCAACAGCAAATCAAATTTCACAACCTATTCTGATGTTTGTTGTTCTTGATACTCTGTAACCTCTTGATAAGGTTGAAGGTCTGTTTTATAATTTAGGTTTTTCCTCAGAATGTCGATTCTGGTGCATAACACGCAGTGACAGTTTCTGTTAAGAGTGATAGCATGCCAAAGCAATTCCCAAGAAAAAAATGCATCATGTGCAAGTGAAACCTGTCCACAACTACACAGAAAGGACCTCCCAGAAGGTGGTTCGCCCAGGGCATCAAACAGCTAGGAGTGCCTCTCAGAACATGTATACACCAGAATCAGAGAACTTTTGTGAAACTCAAGCTCTTTGTGTATATTTTGGTTTATTGTCTGCTTCTGGATACTGCAAAGCACTGTAAAATCTTGGAAAAAAACATTAGTAGATACATGGTGACAGCTCTGGACACCAGAATATATCCTATAGTTTCTTGGGAAAGATCAAATTAGATTCTTCTTAAAATGTCCTAATCTTTTCTTGCTTCTAGAACATGCATATAAAACAGAGAAAGCTCTCAAAACATTTTCTTCCCCGATGTTGTCCATAGCAACTGGCAATTTGTATTGTACAGCATTAAATCATAAACAAATGCTGGCTATCCCCCCTCACCATTACTCCTCCCCCTGCCCTGAATGTTATATTAAGTTCAAATGAAGTTCATATCAAAATAAAACAAAAGTAGGGGAAATGTTTGACATGTTGAAGACTTTTTCTCAGCTCTGTTGTTGAATTAAAAGTCATTTTATATTCTGTTTTCATATTCCACCAGGTTAACACACAATTGTTTTTCCACTTGAATCAGAGTCAAACCAAGTAGGTTCTTATCTCGTCCACAAAGTGTCTAATTTTACAGATGAGACCTTCAAGTAATGTTAAAATGCTGCTTATGTAGGTGGGGAATCATCTTCTGTCAGGCCTGTAATAAAGGATTTTAAAGTTGCATCTCACACAAGAGGAAGAGTAAAGGATCTTCTCTATAATCTTAAAGAAAGTATTTTGAAGATAACTGGGCCACAAGGATGAGTCTGGGAGCAATGCACATTAAATAATATCTCATAATCCCACGTGATGTTATGGGAAAGCAGTTGTATATGTTGTAGACTGTTGCATAAGAGACTGCTAGCATAATAGTCTATACAAAAGTAAGCTTTAAATCAGAGCCATTCTGAGGAGAATAAGTTAAATCAGAGCCATTCTGAGGAGAATAAGTTATAAAAAAAATAATAATTTCAGCTCACTGACCATTTTATTATGAACATCTATTCAAGTTACTTCTCAAAACTCAGTGAATAAGCCAAAAACATCCCAGCAATTTAATAAATTCAGACATCTGGAGGTTGTAAATATGGCTTGGTAAAGTTCCAGGGGAGGCTCAGAAATTTTTCATATTTTGGAGACTGGTAGATCAAGTCAAGTGAAAGTTTAAATTAGAGAAATTTACAAACATTAAGGCAAATTAGGCTATTTAACTATGGATGACTGTGTTCATAGGTTTTTATGCTAATCTTTACTGAGAAACAACAACGGATGTGCAAACTGTGATATGTGTTATGTTTCACAGCACTTTATTTTTAGCCTCATATCAGGAAGATAATTAAAGCTATCTTTGACAATATTGACATAAGTGCAAATTTTTCACTGTCACATTTCTAATATGCAGCCAAACTGTAACACCTTTTGCTCTTATCCTTAAATGTGAAATCATCACAAAGTCTGAAAAACTTCAAAATATTAAACACATATGTGAAGAAATAATAATATTAGGGGATTTTTTTTTCATTGCACTACAAAATAAATAGCTTGTTCAGATTTAGCCTGGAGGAGTGCATTTACCATTTATCTATACTGATAAGAGTTTTGAAGTCAGTCAGACTGCAGTCAATGTCTCACAGCTGCAGTTAGCGTCAGCAGATTGGTAGCTTGTTCCTTATCTTGGCCCGTTTTTCAGAGCATCAAATGCTGAGCTCCAGTTACAAAGAGCATCTCAGAGTTGATCTGATTAAAACCTCTGGATAACATCATGCTCCACAGAGTTGAGAAGGATAGATTCAACCTTAATGGATTTTCTTGAGACAAAGATGAACCAAGGCACTCGCCCTTTGCTTGTTGTTTATCTGAATAAAATGCATACAAATACGTTATATTTTAACATATTTGCAACTTTCTGAAGTGATGGACTTTTAATCTGTCTAGGCACTGATGTACATCAGGTATTTAGTCCTCTCACCCCGATGTGGAAAAATAAGAACATAATAAAATTTATGATGATGGTTAAGTATTTTTTGTGAAATAACTTTTTGCCTTGAATGACAGTAAAACAGATAACTGATAAAAGAAGAGTTTATTTTTTTTAATTATTGGAATAAGAGAAAAACATGCTCAATGTTACTGTCAAAAATGATTGTTAGTCACAGTGCTGCATTTAAAGCATTTATGAATTTGATCAGATTAGCCTAGTGATTATTTTTTACAATGTTGTTACATGTACATATAATACTGATATGTTTGCAAAATAACACCATACAGTTTTATAAAACTGTATGGTGACAGCAATAAGTCAGTGTCTTAAAATGCAAACAGATTCCATCCCATTCAGCGAAAGCTTTAGTGATACAAAAATATAAAAGTACAATTAATTCATGTAAGGCTGGGTAAATATTACTGGTAAAACAATCAAACAAACCAAAAGAAGTGACTTTGTTTCACAGTCTCATTGACTGTAAAACAATGTCAGGCATCCTACAAGACTTACTGATTGCATGACATTATACATAAAAGTATTGGTTACTACATCACTTTTTTTTCAGAAAAAAACAAGATACAATCCTGTGATAAAAGCAGTCGAGGGAAATATGCAGTAGAGTACAGAATAAGTAGAGTACAGGCATGGAGCTGATTAATTAAGAAACTAATGATCTTGCTGTTAGTATTCAATGAACAGTCCACCTATCATAGTGTGAAGAGATCTTAGGGTGACTTGACATTTCACACAACTGTCACTTGAACTAACCATATAAGATGGCTCCGTTTTTAGTAAATTCATGCTAAATCGGACTGATTCCTGTTTATCCATTAAATCTCCACATATCACTGAGGTTTATGACCTCCTGAAGAACAGAAACAAGCCAGCAAGCAAAACTGGATGTCTGTAGTTACAGAAACATGACACCTTTTCTCATGATCATATATAAATGCACTTATCACTCCATTGATTACAAAAATATTTACCTCATAATGAGAGTAAAATTACATGGTAATTGCAGTGGTTATAATAAAAACAAACGTTCATGTTACATATGAGGTATAAGTGTAATAGTCATTTGATAGAATTAATTGACACGCAGGTCAAGTAAAACTCATAAAAAACAAAATGCTGGATGACCCAAGCACAAGAAAAAATTTGAAAGACAGAGACTTACCTTTGGGTGTTAATATTTTTTCACAGAAATACATGTTATAACATAAATGATAAAGCATCAGAGCTTCTGCCCAATATCTTGCAATGTCATGAATATTACTGTAAAACACTGGTTGTCTTCAAACACAACCAGTTGAAAAAAATATTGTAGATTTAAAATGTATTAAGAAAAGAAAATGAAGTATATATTTGAATGAAACTTTTTGTCTACAGGATGACGCAGCAGCAGGTTTCTGGGTAGTCATCAGCGCTAACCTTGTTTTCCTTTCCATAAACATAAAAGACGTGAATGCTATTTTTCCACTTGTAGTTCACCTTAGTAACGGGAATCAACTCAACAGTCTGCCTCTGAAAGAAACAGATATGAAGTTATTTTATTGTAAAAGACAAAAACACCTTACAAAATGTCCAATAAATTAAAAAAGATTGAAGATTTAACATTTCAGGTGGTTTTATTCAAATTAGAACCCAAGATAAAAAAAAATTTCTGCAGTGGCAGCAGTGCAAGTTAGGGGTTTACTCATGTTTATTATAAACAAACCTGCTGCATAATCCTGGATGTCTGAGCATACTTGGATTGATGCTCTTTGATCAGACGGTCAGAAGCCTCAGTAATGGCTGGATTTGGGAACCCATACAACGGGTAGACCTGTGAGGAAACGCATGGAGCTGAAAACCTGAACATCACCTTCAAACACCCAATACTTTCCCTTATGGCTCTTCTCAAAAACAACAATTAGATTGTACCTCAACTATATTTGTCTGAGGTAGGCTTCTCTACTCCTAAAATCATATTTATTTCTTTTACTTTTGCAACTGTGTTTAATTTAGTAATTTTACAATACATAGTATTTTCAACTATTCTAAACATAATTTTTAATAATTTATACTTTTAAAGCTTTTCGAGGCTCTTGGAAGGATGACAAAAAATTGTGTCTGAAGATTTCATATACACAATATGTTTTTAAAAAAAGTTAATTTCTTTATTACATGAATTTAGATACTAAACATCCAAAATTATGCTTTAATTAACAAATATTTTCAAGAATCCTGTATAATATGCAACAGTTATAAATGCAGTATGTCAGAATTTCATATTTGTTTTACAAATCAGCGAAACATCTAGAGATAATGTTCATCACAGTTTCTCATTCACTAGAGTTGCCCATTTTCTGCCATTTTCATTTTCTTTATTAGGTAGCAACGATTCCTTGTTTTATTCATTTACTTGATTAGATCATTTCTACTGAATCAAAACAAATTGATATCTTTATGTTTTTATACCTAAATTACTTTCATCCACTTGCAAAAACAAGTACGTATCAAGAGTGTGTGTATACCATGATCTGGGTCATCTTGTACAGCTCTTTGCCATTCACGGAGTTCAACTCTTCAGCCTTCAGGCCAGAGTTTTGCTCCACCAGATGGTTGTCCACATTGTTAGCCCTAAACAGAAATCAGCAAATTCAATTCATGAAGATGGCAGTTCAAATGTTACACATACCCTATCTTCTTCTTAAGCCCCAGGAAAATATGTACAGTATTTCCTGCAGTGTATATGCAAAATGCGTGAATCTGATCATTTTTTTGCAGGAGCGTCAATCTCCTAAATAACAGTGTCCTGGAAGATTTAGATACGTCTTAGGTCTGATTCTGACTTCACAGTCAGACAAATCAACTGAAAAGTTGGATTTGCCCCTGGAATATTGGGAACAATTTCCACAAACCCCAGTTACCACTTATAAGGCCAACTTTGCATTAAAATATGGTCACTGCTCACAATAATAAGATGTGGTGGAAACATGCTTATTTTCCCAGGTGCAAGCAAGCACCTTCACATATTCAAAGATGTAAAATTAAAAGCACTGCATGGTTTGTTTTATGTGTGATCCAACATTCTCAATAGTACTCAGACTAAAAACGATATTAAAAAAAAAATCTTTTTAAAAACTTACACTTCCTTGGGAACCAAAACAACATTGTTACATAATCACTTTTTTCCATATAATTATTGAAAAACTGATATTGAAAAAACAAAAAGTTCAGGCTTTGCCACAGTTTCTTCAAGAACATTGTTAATTATTAGGTAGTTTATTTAGAAAACAAAATAAGGAATTGATTATTTTATGTTAGATAGTGGTTAAAACAGCTGAAGCTTTAAAATTAAATTAAATGGAAGTGGATTTAATGTCTAAATCCACTTTGCAACCTTGTAAATCTTTTCCTGTTACAGCTGTAGCAGTCTGGGAAACTTACCACTCCACTTTGAGTTTGATGAAGGTAAGCAATTGCTTTTTTCCTTTACAGGTTTCGCACGTCTTTTTTCCCGCACCACTGCACTTTGAACACCTTCACAAAAAAAATACAAACCCAATCAGAAGCATATCACACTAATATTAATCAGTGATTATATTGGCAAATTTTAGTCCCATAATTGTTTTGATACTTGATCAAAAAATAATAATAAAAATAAAATAATGACTGAATATAATAACTCAGTCATTAACCACAACAGATTCTCTCTTGTTTTGGGCCCAAACTGTACCCTGTGATCATTAAAAATGCATATTTCTTATATTTCATATATATATTTTACAATAAACTTTTGCATTTATTTCATACTCCAAAATAAATTGGAAACAAAGATTTACACTTTAAACTATGATGTATTGATGTGAAGTGTGCAATGGACAATTATATAATGTGTTCCTCATCCCTCTTCAGCTTCAGATTATCTGCATTGTATTATCATGATATTCATTCACATGACCTCTACGGTGTCATACAACAGCAGGAGAGAGGTCCTGATGCTGGCGACTAAGTGTTATTGCCCCAATCCAGAACTTATCTGCCCTCTTTAGAATCAAACAACCCCCTTTCCTTAACAATACACTAATGGCAAGACCATCTATGTTAGGCTCCACAGAATCCTTGGTACATAACAATCAAGAATTCATACCTATAGTCTAATCAAGTCTCTTCTCTGACCAGAACCTATAAAAGGAAGCAAAAATCTACTGAGAGCTTGACAGACTCCTTTGACTCTACATTTTTGTTCTCACCTTGGAAAATGTTAATACATTTATTATTCTTTCTCATCCAGACTCTTGTTAAAGTAATTATTTTATGACAAGTGCCACATTCAGCATGGCAAAACAAATAAAATGGAGTCCTTATTATTTATGATCAGTGATGGCATAGTTACTTTGAAAAAGTAACAAATTGGATTACTGATTACTCCTTGAAAAAAACAACTTTTTTAGTTATGTTCAGCAGCTGCTAACAACAACGCTCCACCACCTGTGAAAATTATACTAATTTTTGACAATACTTAATTGTAAATTATTGTGTAATGGTAACATCAACAATGTGTCTCCACTTATAAGGTCGAGCTGAAGAGGAGATTGTTTAATGGTTACAACAATACAAAAAAACGTCAGTAATTTGTGCGTGTTTTTGTGTGTTCCAGTATTGTCTGGAAAACTACAAATAAGATTTTAGCTCCATCCATTGACCAGGTTCTGTGTTACGGCCCTGTATTTACGGCCCACATTCATTCGTGGTTGTTTTCACATTTATTGCATTTATTAGTGCAATAATATGAACTAATTTTGCACTCCAGAAAACTGTTTGCAATTTTCTGGAGTGCATGAGTGCAAAGTGAAGCTCGACGTCCTTCAGAGGTAATATATTAACTTGACATGAACAAAGGTACAGCAGGACGGATCCATCCGGGAAATGATAGACAGGGACAGCCTGACATAAACAATGTTATGTCTGATTATTTCCAAGCCCAAAAAGCGCAACCCACAACTCATTAAATCTGCAAACGACTTTAGGAAAAAACCCAAAGAAAAACAAGCCCAAAGCCGCTCAATATAATAATAATCGGACTTGGCGAGCGAAATTCAAAATATGTCCCGTTTTTCCAGCAACAAAATGCGCATCTCCCTCTTCCTTCCACTGTTTATGTTTCTGTCGCTCCTGATACTGTCGCAGAAATGGTGGTCTCTCCCCAAGATGCACAGAGGAAATAGAATTAAATTACAAAAGAAAATAGTAACGCACAGTAACACAAAGTGATTTTGATAAATAACTGTAGTCTGACTACTGGATTTTAAATAATGTGTTAAATTACTTGTTACTGAAAAAAGTGATCTGATCAATAATGTTACTAAATAATGCGTTACTGATGTCACTGTTTATAGTTTTACAATTCAAAAAGGCTGATTATCACAAACATAAAATATGATCAGAATTAATTTTAATTAAACATACAAGCCATGTTTAAGTCCTTTGCTAGTCTAATGTTTCAACTAAAATGTAATAATAAAGTTGTTTATTATTTACAGTCTTTATTAGTCAAATGACACATTAATTGACTCAATTCCATATTTGTTACCTATTCATTTGCCACTTTTATATCAACAAACTACATGGAGGGTGATTACCTGTCCTTTCCTGTTCCATTGCAGTGAGTGCAGTTTTCCTCTTCATTCTTACCAGAGCCATTGCATTGAGTGCATTGTTTCTAAAGGGAACATATGAACAAATATTCACTGGTAATACAATAGAGCCTGACCAATTTATTTGTTTATTTAGCCAGCAAATCAATTGATTTTACAAACTCAAAATGTTATTACTGATTTATATGGATATTTGAAAGATTTCTTACATATCCTTTTGCCTCGCAGTCTTTGCAGGACACTGTTCCCTCTGCATGGCAGGCGTTACATTCCTACACACAAACAGGAGTTCAAGGATTACCTCACTACCTTGTAGAAGCACACAGAAACACAGAACACTAATCATAATTTCAAGCTCTGGCAAAAAACCAGTGGCCTTTTTGGTCATCTTGTCAGTTTTTGAAAAGCACATTTATTGAAATGAAATATAATGGATGAATTATATAAATATATACCTTTAATAAAATGCAAACAAAACAGTTTTTCTTCTTGGGGGAGGTGAAATCTATACACTTTTTACATTATTTTATTGTTTCCTGAGAGTCGCCTGCTTTTCGTTTATGTAATAAACTTCTTGGTTGACTAAATATTTATTTTTTATCTAGATCTGCCAAAAATATGAATCATAAGAGCTTAACTGTACTTTTTAAAATATGCATAACCCCTCTGACTAGACATTAAATTGCCTTTTAATTCAATCAGTCAAAAAAAAAACAAAAAAAACCTATATTTATTGTTTGGCCCCATGGGACTTTTAAGACTACACAAAGAAATTCAGACTGTTCAGTCCAAATGTACCTCAGCCTAGTGATTCCTCAACACTTTGGCTTCTGAAACATTTCAAATAACCCCTCAAAAACTTCCTGAGTAACTTCCTTACATGATATATTTGGCCTGAATAATAAAAAAAGAAAAGCAAACCATATTGCTAAATTATATTTCAGAGTCAGAGGGAATCAATAGTGGTGATTGATGAAGAAGACTTTTATACGGTTTTATAAGGGTTAAGATTTTTTTCATGGCTATGCTTTGGCTCTGAATTGTCAATTGAAAGATTTTAAGTTCAATTTGAGGACAACTTCAGTAGTTTTGAAGTATTTATCGCATGTGAAACTTTTTGGAAGTTTTTACAGCTGGACCTTAATTCACTGAAAAATGTAACATTTCAAGTCTCTCTAAATGAAATGATGATGCTGCTCAAAAAACAGGACTGCCAACCTTAAGATTGGGGGCAAAAACTTGAACATGGATTATCAAGCGTTCCCTGAAGTTGTGTAGCTTATTTTACAGAAATCTTAGATGTGTCAACATTTTTTCAGAAAGCTGGAGTCTTTAAAGCCTTGTCAGTCACTCTCCTCCAGCTACATCCTGTGACCCATTTTGACATCGGCCAATTTGCTTCCAGGAAAGCTTGATTTCACATGCAGGATGTCTAACAATTTTGCAAAGAGTTTGAGTTATTCTTACAATTTCTAATTTCAAAACCATAATGCTGCACAGTAAATTGGCAAGAGAAGCAGAACAATGAATTAAATGGTCCTAAAAGCTGAATCTGGGATAAAGTAAAAAAAAAAAAAATAAAATAAAAATCAACAAAGCAGCAGGATAAACTGGACTTGTGTCATTTAAAAACAATCACCTTGACATTGGAGGTGTATGGCACTCGGATCTCCTCAGTGTGTTTGGTGAAGAGCTCAGGGGTCTTGGTCTGGACTTCCCATGGTGTGGGGGCAGGCTGAGCGTAGAAGTCAGGAGTTTCCCCTGTTAAGGAAACAAAACAATTAATCTGTCCGAGAAGCTTCATTGAGATAACATTTTGTTCAACTATCAGAAACTAAATGAAGCAGTTTTAAGTATCCAACATGAAGACTGGGTTTAGGGGACATGAATACTGAGCTCCTACCTTCATAAGGTTTCTCGGCCATCTCAGTTGATCTGGACTCTGTGAATGTCTCCAGACGCAACTACAAGACAGACAAAATGCTTTAAAACTTTATTCTATGTTATTAAAAAATCCATGTATAGATATGATTGGGGTGTACATCTACAGTTGGAAATTTGTTAAAACACAAAACAACTGACATTTGTTGCTTGTTGTGATAACCAGCTTGTGTTTTGCACCTCCAGTCCTCGAGATCTGGTGTCCTACAACCTTTAGATATGTCCCTACTCCAACATGCCAGGTTCAAATAATTATGTGATTAGAAGATCTTTGGAGAAGCCTGACTGCATACAAATATTAATCAGCAATTTTAGTGAGGTGTGTTTGACAGAGGACTCATCTAAAAGTTCCCTCAAGGATTGAAGTTGTCAATCTCCGAGTTAAATGGGCCATGAAATTTTGTCTTGTGCTCTAAACTACTGGCTCTAATATGAATAAAACATGATTGCACCAGTTTAGGTAATAAGGTGGTTTTACCTGGAGGAGCCCAAAATTAACAAAATCAAAACAACTGACCAAAATTACCTTGAATATATACAGGAAAGATATTACAACTGTGACATTGCAAAAAAAAGAGCTGTTTGCAAACGTCCAACTTAAACACAGCAGCAGCAAATGGCAGCAGAAGTTTTGATAGTTTCATAAGCTATTATTACACATAAGGTGTGTGGTGGACATTTTGTATGTTTCTCTCAAACTAAGCATCAACAGTCAATTAACCTCTTAACGAGTTAATTGTAATTTAATCAATGAGACAATGTATGGGCAAAAAATGCAAAGAGGAAGTTGCTTCTACAACTAAAAGTAAAACTGTTTAGTTTTACTTATGAGTCTGAACAGATGGATTCTTAATCACATGGGTTGTGAGTTTCCAGAGTGTTTTACACTGAGGTGTGTTGGGGATTGTGAGAATATGTCACTGTGTTTAGAGCTTGAATTCTTCAGAGCAGTGTTTAAAGGAATACTTAGGAATCCTTTATACAGAAAGCAACTAAGTTAACTTAAGTCTTTCCATGTCAAGATGAATCTTTGGCCCAACATAAAACAAATCCAAACTGTGACACACAAATAAAAGAGTACACACCATGGAACAGAAACCCAAATAATATAAAATTACAGAGGCAAAACAACAATAGCTACATGTTGTCTTTTGTGCACAGTGTTGGGAACATGAAAGCAGACATGGAAAGAGTGCTGGTGAGTTTTGTGGCTGTGTTTTTCTGCACTAATTAACATATTTATTCACTGAGATAAGGTTGTTAGCGTTAAGAAATTGTTGATGCGTTTTTATGGAACTTCTAAGTGTATAAAATAGCAATTTGGTTATGGTAAGTACAACCAAAAAAAAAAAAAAAAAAAGTTTCCAACACTGGTGCTGCTTGCCATCAACACCTGCTTTCAGGTGAATTCTGAGTAAGAATAAGAAATCTTAGTGGGTGATGTTAAAAAATCTTTGATCATCTCAGAATAAACAGGTGAGTTCAGGTTATGCCCAAATATCAGATCTCCAGACAAACAGATGAAAGATAAATAAGTTTATTTTAGGAAAATAATGGTATGGGCCAATTTATTGCAAAGTAATAAGTATTTCAGTTAAGTTTTCTTTTTTGCATTCACTCATGCATATTATGTTAAGGATGGACCCAAATGTGTACATGTGTTCAAGTGAGCATGGTACTAAAATGCAGGTGATTCTGATGTTAAAAACTTTATGTCTTTTTTAATTAGAACAGCTAATTGAAGCAAGAATGTTTAGTAACAGATTTACCGGTAAATGCCAAAGTCTAAAGGTTTTATTAGCAATATAAAATGCAATCACCCTGTATGTGTTAAATGACTCCATATTGGTGATAACACCCTCATTGGCTGGGCCTGATTGGTAGCAGCACTGAGATTGCACATAGCCTTTGAATGCCTCACGAGCAACATCTTCTGACAGAGCGGGGATGCTGAAAAAAACAACATACAGACAAACACAAATAAAATATAAGATGGATACAAACACAGATCAACATGTGACTGTTCAGTGATGCGAACGAGATCTTACTTCCATTCTTCAGGAGTGGGGCCAGGTTGGGCTGGAGCTACTGGCTGTAAAGGTACAGGAGGAGGCAAAAAACCACCTGCAACAACAACGGAAAGTCAGATGCCAAAGTGCTGCAAATGTACAACTGAATTAGTTGGACTCTCCTTACCTGCACCAATTCCCTCATAGCCAGGCATGTTTGCGAATGGGTTGGCTGCAGGGGCATGTTGAGGCGGATAAATAGCTAAAAGAAATAATGAAAACAGATTATTCCATTCTTGATTCCTTAAAACTTCTTTAAACTGGTTTTAGAATTTCTGTAGCATATCTTAAGACATGTTTAGACTTGGCAAAGTGTTTGAATGTCACTTTGCTGCGTATTTTCACCACAGAAAAAAAAAAAAATATGGTGAAACTCAAACAAAGCACCAGGGCTTTATATGCCTGGTGCATATAAAGTCCCAGTCAAGTTTCGGCATCAGCGTTGGGGTAGATCACAAAAGAGCAATCTATTCAGCCTAATACAACATCTAGATGCTTCAACTAGATTTTCCTTGGCAACTAAATACAAACAAAAAAGAAAATGGAAAGTAGATGAACATTACCACCCAAATAACTGGAACATATTGGCTGGCGTGCCTTAATTATTCAGTTTTAATCCATTTTCTGGGATTTATCATTTTTTCATTTTTGCCAGATAATCAGTGAGGCTCTGCTGATGAGTCACAGTAGATTTTTAGATTGCTTTATATTGTAGCTCATAATTCATTAATAATTTTCAAGAAATTAATGTGTCCATCCATATGCATTCATTATAAAAAATAACACATTCAGACTTTGTTGAAATTATTTCTTATTTTTAAATCATACAATGAATGTCTTATTAATCAAATTATTTTATTCATTAGTATTATTGCTTATTGGTCCTTGGATTTGCACCACCATAATCCTCTTTTTTAATGGACCATCGAGAGTGAAAATCACAATTCCAGTTATATCTAATTAAATTGTAAGCTACATTTAAGGGGAGGAAATTCTCATTCCCTGGAAATAAAACAATCACCAGTGGAAGTGTTGGATTTTATTGACGGATAGTTTTTATCTCTTTTTTTCACCTGTTTGTCTATATTGAAGACTTACTTTACAAAGGCTGTTCATAAGCTGTTGTTCAGAAGTGTTTATATTTAAGTATTTACCAAATTTGTCATGTCAACCAGATTGCATTTAGTTTTTCCCAATAAAATCTCCAATCGTGGGGTTTAGACTCCATGCAGCAATGGCATGTTATCTGACAACTATTCAAATGTTGATTGAGGAAAAAAAGGTGGAAGAACACAGTTGTTATGACTTGTCTCACACTGCCCCCGCAGCTGTAATGGTAAGCTTAGGAAAAGCTTAGGAACATGATTCCAAGGAATCCTTAAAAAAAAAGGCCCCATAGTAGTAAAATCTTGGAAAGGGGCCAACAGTTTTTCCGGTACATTTTGTTCCTCAAAGGTTTAGGAAGATTCACAGAGGTCCACAGTACAATCACATAGTTTAGAATCTGTAAGTCCTTCAGTCCTGGCGGTCCATGAATGCTCTTTTAGTTGCATATTCTAATCAGAAACCAGTTTTGAAAAACAGTATCAGAAAATAAGTGCTTGAAAATACTTCATAATGGACTGAAACACATTTTTGTGGTGTAGCTATAAACACTTTCATAAAAATTAAAATTGGACATGATTCTCGTTTCATACATAAAATTAAAAAACAAGAACACAAAAAAGTGATAATGTTATCATATTTTTAGACAGAAATTATGCTGAAATCATAACTGTGACTGCAGGAGACGCTAGTACTTTTGCACAAAACTTGCAACGTAAATTTTACTACACAAAAGCAGATGAACCTGAACACATAAAGTAAATGCAAATATTTGAGCCGAAAGCCTTGCATTTTTAATTGTAGTACGAAACGCCCTCAAATGGACAAGTGACGTCACTGGACGAAAAGCTCTGTGTTGCTTTCAACAGACTCAGACTATACCAGTTACACTCTGAGCAGGACAGCTTCATTTACTTGGCAGTGATTTAGTTTTATTTCTAAAAATTAAATAAATAATGACTATAAGATCAAAATATTATTGTTAAAATTTTATAGCATGCTTACTTAAAGAGATCTCTTCTTTCAATCCTAATGGACGGTATTCTGTTTTCACTTCTGAGTTTTGCACTTCCTGAGTTTCACAATCACTTCCAATTTCTTTAGTGCTATAGGTTTCAAATAAAATAAATAAATACATAAAAGGGTAAAATAGGCCTTTAAGAACGTCTAAACATGCCAAGTTCATTTCTCTACCATTTATTGTCCGAATGGTCCTCTTGGGCACATTGTAATCAGATGAGTTTAGCCAGCACATGACCATTTAGGATGGTATTTCACCATATTGTTTAGACTGGTCATTTACACAGAATGAAAAAAAAGGATAAAGAAAAAACTTAACCACAAATAAAGTGTTTTAGCAGCAGGGGGAAGCATCTGCAGCCTTCAGTCAGGCTCGTCATTCAAGGATGGACAGATAAAATTCCCAATGATTGGAAGTCTAAAATCTGTACTCTAAAATCAATCCTTTAAGATACAAAAAAAAAAAAGTTTTTTAACGCCTCAAAGAGCCTAGTTTTTAAAAGTTAAAGCATTTAGAAGTACAGAATAAAAATAGTCACAGACTGCCTGCCTTCTGAAATAGCCCACAGTCTCTAATTAGATAGAGACTGTGACCGATGTTAACCTTGGTCGAAAAGATTATGGCGGTTTCCTATTCAGCCATTCTCAGTGACTCGACAAGAAAATTGATCTCTTGAGAAAAACTGAAAAGATGGGCGTTTAGATGAGCTCATCTTCACTCACTGCTGCAAACAGTCGCATCAAACTGTAAAAAGCTAATGAACCAACCTGCGCTGTTCATCTTGTTGCTGCTCGATGCTTTGCTCCGTCTCTCTCTTTCGGTATTGTGTAATTTGTAAAGATTTTCTCTGAACGTTTCCCAAACTGTTATGTGTACATTTACTTACACTAATTTAGATACCTTTTCCCGGAAATAACAACTTCAAAGTAAAAGACTTGCCGCGGTGCCACACAGTCGATTTTAACAAAGAATATTTTCAAAAGCTTCAAGAGAACTTTTAAATATGTATTAGTATTGTGTCTTTTATTCGTTGCTTTCCTGTACTAGGAACATAAACCCCTTTTTTACATTATTATTCAGGACTTTGCTGCAGCAACTCATGTTTAATTTATCATTATAATTTATGACATAAGTAGAAGCGAAGTTAAAAAAAAACCAAATATGAATATTTTAAATACATACATCGTTTTCGAAGTCTTTTAAAATATAACCGGAGGTCTTTAGGGAAGATAGTTTTTTTCTTGTCATTGTCAAATGATTTTATCCCACATTAGATAATTTAAACATAGCTGCTCAGTTTAACTTGTTTGTCTACCAGAGTCTATACTGCAATTTGAATGTGAGAATGCGTTTTAAAAAATTATTATTGTATTCATATTTGCTGTTCATGACCAACGTGTCCTGGGGCTTTTATTTTGAACGAATGTGTGGAAGCTGAGGCTTCTGAACTCAGGCTATTTATTTTGTAATTCGATGAGCACAAATGCCTCGGAATGTTGACCACGCCTTATCCATGATAAATCTGGGGGTCTTGAAAAGCAAAAATCATGTAGTGGCAGTGGCCACACAATAGGGGGTGAATACTACAAAACAAACGAGGTGAAAAAATGTTGTACATATTGGAAATGTGCTGTAAAACATTTTATTTAATTTTTTGTTATATCTTTATTTTATCTGAGCAGACAAGATAAAGCAAAACATGCATTGTTGATTACATTGACATTACATAAATTGTTCAAAGGGAGTAGGAGGAAACCGTAAGAGGAACATACTTTTTTATGTTCCTGGCTCCTTTTCCCAGTACACCTTTTGGAAAATACAGTCAATAAGAATAAACATAGATGTCACTTAACCCTTAGTGGAGGATGAGCCTCAGTTTTTATTACTGTTAGAAATAGTTCCATGATAAACTTCACAAGTTTTACCTGTGACTCTTCTCATTGGAGGGTGAGGGAATTTACCTCTGACTGGTGGAACACCTGGGACATGTAAAACCCAGCCAGATCGTCTCTGGAGACATGTAAAACCGGGCATGTCTTCATGTTCTGGTTGTTTCTGGAGGCATCTGGAACCCAACCAGATCATCTCTACTTTCCTTCGAAGGTACATCACCACTCTTTATTTCTCAGGTTTTTTTCTTTTCACATTTCAAAAGGTGTACCAACATTCTCCTCTCTGTATTTTTTTTACACCAAACACCACTGATTTCCAAGACTTTCTCACCTTCTTATAGAGGCTTTAATTATAACCTTATTTTAAATGTTAAAATAATGTTAAACAAAGCGTGTCTCTTTTTATTATGTTACCACTGAGTCATTGTAAGATGTGCTTTAATTATTTACACGCAGGATCTGAAGAAGAAAAATATTATTGAAATGAGAGCTTGCAGTTGCAAATGCTGAATTTCTTATTATTCTGAAACATAAAAAATAATATTTGTGTAAGGTAAAAATTATAATTTCAGTTCTTCATCACATTAAATCGGATGTTAATTTTCTTTAAAGATAAATGCTTTTTAATATGATGAGAATGGTAGAAAAATGAAAGACAAATACAAATACAATTAATAACCATAAAATAACCCAAAGCAATGCAATTTATTTATCTCTTAATACTTGGCAAAAGTTAAACATAAATAAATGTAAAATTGATTTAGTGCGCAAAATTTGACGAATGTTATGTTTGCAGGGCGCCAAACACAATACACACCACAAATGCACGCAATGCTTCGCATTTACACTAATTTGCATTTTTACAGTAATGCTCTTTCTGTGTTGAAGTCTGTTTGGTAAAGACAACAAGCACAATGTCTCCATCCATAAAAACAAACAACTAAACAAATATATTCATAGAAAAATCAGCTCATCATCATCCTTGTTTCTCCTTCTATTGTGTTTACATGTAGGTCCAGTTTAATCTGTATGTAATCCAGTTTAGTAGAGGAGACAAGAGGTGAAGAAGCAAAGTGCTGTGAAAAAAGAACAGGTAGTGGGATGAAAAAGTTTATTCAAAGGCCATAAACATCCAGCAGGGGGAGCCAGAGTATGAAAGACTTAAACTGAAGACTTTATACACTGCTTGTCTGACTGAGGCAAGGTTACTGATGTCTGAACGATAAACTGAGTCACAGACTGACAGAGCAGAGACTGTGCCGTTTAAATAAATACAGCCAACTGTTTGACTTTCTGTGTTTGCTGCTCCGTCTGTAAATCAAGATCACCTCAAAGAGGCTGAAATGTTTGAAAGGCTTTTGAGAATGATGTTCAGGTCAGTTATGGTGAGTACATGCACAGAAAGAAATAAGAAAGACACTTTTTTACAGCTCACAATGAAGCAGTACTTGTTTATGCAGTTAAGCATTATTCATTTGGACAATTACAATAACTACAGATAGGACAGAAGTGACCAGTCCATTAATGGACCAAGATACCAAAAAAATAAATGAAATAAAGTTTAACCAGCTGAGTGTTCAGTGCAGAAAGCCCCACAAAGAAATTCAAATCTTCATTTGAAAGGCACAACTGCTAAACACCCCTTCATTGTAACATTACTATTCATAGGGCTTTACTGTTTATTTTACAGAACAGGTTGTCAGATTAGACTATTACTTTATCTTTTGGTGTTGAGACACCAGCCCAAGAGGTTACTGGAATAAATACAGTATAAACCTGCAAGAAATTTCCACCTGGAAGGGAAAAAGTGGTACAAATCTTCACACTTTTGTTTGACACCCCTGTGACATTGTTTTCATAATGCACTGCAGCCCGGAGATTTTCTGGACACTTTACTATGAGGGTACGTCCCAGAATACAAATGTGAGTGTTTCTACATGCGGGAATGAACTTCTGTGGACTTCCTGTGGAAACTAATGACTCATGAAACTGCCTTTGGTCAGCATCAACAAGAAAATATGGAAAACATCAGTTTTACAGAGATAGTTTTTTTTGATGTGCCAACATAGCGTGACAGTCATGCAGAAAGGGTTAAGACTTGTGGCTTCACAAGTCAGCTCATCTGGTTCATGAAAAGCAAAAAGGAAAAACAAATAAACAGAGGCATTCAGCTATCTGTCTGCTTCGACTCTAAATGGATTTTCGTGTACAAGCCAAGAGAAATAAACATATAATCAAACAGACAGAAGAATATGTGGTGTGTTTCTTCGGTCGTCTAGAACTTTCTTTCACTGGCTATCATTGCAATGAACTTGATTTTATCTGTTTGGTCTATACATACAAAAATAAAGAAAACGATAGAGGAGTTTGACTGTTAGCAGCACTAAATGTCTAAATTTTGCTGAGAACATCGGCAATGAAAACATTGTGAAGCCACACATATACTGGTGACTCATCTACAGATTGCTTAATTATATTTTCTGTTTTTTATAATTATTATTTATTCATACTTATGTTGTGATTTTAGACTATAAAATGTTTTCCCAGGAAAATTTGCTATGACGGTTTGCTTTCTTTCATTTGTTTAACTAAGATTTAAGATCTTTGACTGTGACCTCATTTTGACTCCTGTTTCTAATCCTGCGATATTTTAACTAAAGGTTTATGTGACGTTTTCTTTTAAACTCAAGGATAAGTTTGCGCTGTGCTGGTGAGTTTGAACAGACTTAACATGATGATTTTATCACCATTCTCTTTCTAAGAAGATGAAGAAAGACTTCTCATAAAGAGTGAAAAGTTGTTGCGAAGTCTTTTTTGCGATGATCAAACAAGAAAACAATGCATGAGTGTGAAGTGTACATTTGTATTCCTCTCTGTTGATGCTTACATGCCTAATTAAAATACATTCAACTGCCTTCAGATGTAACTTCATTAGTATCGTCCACTTGTGTGTAATTTAATCTCAGTATTTATGCATGTTTTCTCTGACGGCCAAACAGCATCACCAAGACCAAGGAACACAGCAGTCAAGTTAGTGACAAAGTTATGGTTGAGTTTAAAGACAGGTTAGCTGATCCGAATATTTTTAAAATCCTAAGTATCTCTGTTAAATTCATCTGGAAATGGAAAGAGGATGACGTGACTGGAAACCTATCAAGGCAAGGCCGTTCACCTGAACAAACAGACCGCATTATCAATCAATCATCCATTATTTATAGAGCACATTTCATGCAGAGAGGTGTAACACAAGAAGGGTTTCCAGGTTTTATTACTCTTATTTATCCTTGATTATTTTTGACAATATCGGATCAGCATTTTATATGAAAAGTATAAAATGCTTTAGCTAGAAAGAGCTTTAAATTGTCAGTTCTTGTAAAAATTAATTTTATCACCCTCTGCACCTCGAACTAAGAAGAAACCCTTAGGAGGGACTTTATGTCAGGCGTTGCTATTCTTAACAGATTCAGGAGGGAGCTGAACTCACAGCTTTGAGTCTCTGGTCCTCCTCCACTGAGAGGATGTTTACACATCACTCTGTGTGTGTGTCACAGGGGTTAAGCAGAGTCAGGCATTCTTTCCATTACCCTCATCAAATCAATGTTTAACACTCCTCCATTTACTGTCCCTGCAGAACACAGTCTGTTTGTGTGAGTGTGCGCTGTACATGTGTGTTACCAAAACACCTGATCAATAAACAGATAGGAAATTTGATCAGTAAAAAGTGGGACAGTGAGGCTGTCTGATGTGGGCTGAAGATAAAACTGGCACTCACCCAAAGCAGCTTGATGTCATTTCACAGCAGTTCAAATTCATTTCTCTTCTTTTGAAGAACCAGACAGCTCTTCCCCCTCCTGCATCCTCAGCATCATCTGAAGGCTGGCATCTGCAGCACTGAGGGAAATGTGGAAAATACAGCAGTGCATTTACATTTATTGACTGAAATGTTTATAAAGCAAGTAGAACAAAGCAAAAAGTTTGGGATCACAAAATAATGAACCTGACTGGCTTAAACTTTTGTATTAAAACAGGGATCACAAGCACTATAATGGCCGTTTGGAATGCAAAACAGATTTTCTGTTTTCCCAGAAAGAAAGACAATGAGAAAACCTGCTGAAGTTGGAATGTCTACTGAGAACGTTTAGTATCCAATACCTAAATCTGCACAAAGAATTTAGTAAAGCTGACGAATAAAAATGATTTATTTATACAATATCCACCCATCCATTTTCTATGATCAATTATCCATGTAAGGTCACAGGGAGGCTCGGGCCTATCTTCAGTTGTCACTGGGTGAGAGGTGGCTGGACAGATTGCCAGAATGTAAACAATATGGTATCAAAGTCGGTCATGACATTGCCACGCATGCCTGCTCCCGTCAAATGTTTTAAAAGTTTTTGAAATTTATCTAGGGTTTACGGTTTTCTGTCAAGGTGCTTCAGAGCGATATGACGTAGCAGGGTAAACTCACACTCTCAGCCACTCATTTTCATACAGTTCTCAAAAGTAATAGCTCCCTTCTCGGCATCGAACTACACGTTTTCATACCACTTTTGTGGGGGTGCACGCAGCGCTACAAGGCGCATTAACAGTGATGGAAGAAAAATAAATAGACATTGTATCAGGTGTAGAACAATAGGTGCCTGCTATGCATTGCATGGGAAGCAGTGACTGACTTCCCTCCCTTTGCATTGCTATGGGCAGGCCCCAATTAGCGTTGCTTAATAAAATTGTATTTACAGAAGTAACTGTTAACATTACTCGTCCCAATACTTAAATATGCACGAAAGGCATGGATCAAATGTATTTTTTGTAGACTAAACTCCAAGCAGGGAAATCCCAAAGGCAATCTCTCCAACATGTGGTCTGTTTTATTTCAGTCATGAAGAGGTGTCTGCATTAGACTGTTATCATAACGACCATTCGGTAAACAGCTTCTTCTAGCAGACACTGGCTAACAGACAGCAAATTACCAAGGCAACAGTAAACATTCAAGAGTTTTGACAGTGTGTTTATGCAATGTGGATTACTAATGTTTGATCCATGTAAGTTCAGCTGACAGAACTGAATAAAACAACCGAGGCTCACCACGAGATTTCCCTGAAAGAAATTGATCTGAAAAATGTTAAATAAATAAGTTACTGTCGAAAATTTTAAAAACATTCTTCTTTTCAAAAATTTTTAAATTTATAGCTACCAATGTGAACCTGACAAGGATACATGCTGATGAGAAGGTTTTAAAGAGTCAATTTTAAAAAAATGCCTTGCTGAAACACAGTGGTGGTTTGCAAAACAAAAGTAAATTTCTGTTCTATCTTTTCTTTCCGTTTTTTTTTTTTTTTTTTTCTCTGTTCAAAATTTGCCTGGATAATCTCACTTGACACAAGTTGTGTTTTGTAGTAAAAAATTGCTTGCCTAAGAAACCAGTTTTTCTGTGAATAAACCAGTTCTTTGCTTGTAGATGAAAAACTAATGAGCTAAATTATAATTGCACCTTTCTTTCCCAAATATCTTTGAAAATATATATTAAGCATGCCAAAAATAACCAGGCTATAGGGTTACTTTTTGTTTTTTACACTGGGCTTTTGCTGGTAGGAAGAGAATTTTCAGGAAGATCTAATGTCCTTGTCACTTGGTCTTTCCTCCCAATAACTCACACAAATTTTCTGTTGCTCCAATATAGAGGAAGTCCAAGGTAAAAAGTTTATTTTCTTAGTTATGTTTGTTGGCTTGAGAATTACTGTGGAAGAGTTACTGTTGTACAGAGTGTAAGCATTTCCCTCTGCAACTGGTTCTTTGACATTTTGACAGAAAGGTGCTGAATACTGGGGTCCCTCAGAGTTGTGTACTCAGTCCTGATCTGTGTGCTGCTGCACAGTGCAGCAGACATAAACTGCATTATGTCATCTGCAAAGTTTACCATGGTGGGTTTCATCAATAAAAATGTCAAGTCAGCATACAGAGAGGAGATGTGATGGCTTACAGACTGAAGCAAAGTCAACAACTTGTTACTGGGAGTTGCTAAATCAAAAGACATGATCACTGGCTTTCATAAAAGTGACCACGCAGCACTTAACTTAAGCAGACCCCCTGCAGAGAATCCCCAACGCCCCACCTTGGTCTTCCCTTGATGACGTGAATGATGAATTCATATTTGAACATTTTTCAAGCACTCCACTGAAAAGTCATCATTGTCTTTCTTTCATTTACCACACACCCTGGATTGGTAAAGCCAGCAGCATTGTGGGAAATCCCATGAACTTCCAATATGAACGCTTAACATAACATTAGGTAGTCATGTGGGTCCTCACTTTCAGATTATGTGCTTCACATTTTAATCAGGTTGGTACATGTATATGTAGTGTTAGGTTCCTGGAAGATTAAATTGTATGTAACTTTGCTGTGTTTCACCCTTATATGTTTGTAATGACAGTAAACGCAACATGTCTTGCTTTGGTATTAAATTTTAACATCACCAGAATATTATCTTGAGGAAATTGGGTGCATAGTAGAATGAAGGGGTAAAATATGACAGAACTTTCACTTTTCAATAGACACTGCCAAGTATGCAATGCTAATTTAAAAAATATTTAAAAATAAGTCTTTTTTTAGTACAATTCTAGTAGACATGATTTTATGACTTGAAATTTTATTTAGCACATTAATTTGAACACAAAAAATCTCGGGATAACAACAGGGTGGACACAGTGATCAGGTTCCCCATTTTGAACAACATCCCATTACCTCTACTGTTACACACTCACACACACGCACAAGCGCACACACAAACACACACACACCTAAAAGCACTGATGCCACTGTTAAATCATAGAGTTGTGATCTGTTACATTCATCTGAAATCCTCATGTTGACATCCTTTGGAGGTAAAGTCACAACGGATTTGACACTAAATAGTAAAACAAGGAAGTCATAGTCACAGTAAGTGTCTTTTGTTCATTCATTTTGTCAGTGACAGCTTTGTCTGAGCCTGACCCACTGGTAGGGATAGACACAGCTGATGCAGTTTTCCACTGTATCAGAAGCAGGCAATTCAAGAAGTCACAATAAAAGTCTTGATAAAAGCAAGTCTTCAGAGGACAGCTAGATCATGGCAGCTCTTGGAGCGCACTTTAACCGCCATTCGCTGGTTGTTTCGTGCCACCAGTCGATCCAGGAAACGGCGGGCCTTCTTTGTGAGGCTCTCTTTACGTTTGTAGACTGAGTTTCTGTGCTTTGTGACCTCATTGCTGTCCCGACGGAGACGAATCTGTCGCACCACGCCCTCAAACAGTTCGGACACGTTATGTTGCAGGGATGCAGACGTCTCAATGAATTTACAGTCAAACACTACCGCACAAGCACTGCCCTCTAGAAAAGAAAGGAAAGAGCCTAAATTATTAAAGTAGGAACAAATGACGTTTAACCATTTTTCAATTACGGATCAATGACCCCACCTTCCACAGCGACCTCTCTGGCCCGGACCAAGTCACTCTTGTTTCCTACGAGAATGATGGGAAGATTTTCGGCTTGTCGTGCACGCCTCAGTGTTATGCGGAGTTCAGCAGCTGAATCAAAACTTGAGCGGTCGGTGACAGAGTAAACAATAACATAAGCACTCCCCACCTTCAGGCAGTCATCGTGACAGGATGGGTCTCCTTTTTCCTAACAGAGGACACAAGGACAGAGACTTCTTAATTTTTCCTAAACAGAATAAAGGGATAGTAAAAAGAAAGTGAATCACCTTTAACTTTTAGGGACATACGTACTTTGCATAGGGTTGTGGCATAGCTATACTTATTTTTCTGCAAACATTTCTATTGTGGTTTCATTTTGTTTAAAAAATACTGACATTATCAAGTCAGTTATGTTTAGTTTGAGGTTATTTTCATAATTTTAGAAACTGTAAAGACCAGATTGTACATTTTCATTCATATTATTGAATTTTGACAAACTCTTTAATATATTAAGTTGGTAAATAACCTGCAGAAATAAATTGTTATTCACCTTTAAATGAATGGGGTCAATTGGACCATGACTGTCGACTACATTTTTCTCTTTTAATGGTTGCAGAGATTTTAAAGAAAGCAGCTGTTAGTAAGATATTTTGCCAACACAAATGAATGCTTAAAGCCCAGGCAATTGATTGGTTGTGCTGGATTGGTAGTGCTATCTTTTTTAATTGATTTATTTAGAAAAACATGGTCTGAATTAACACTTTTAGAACGTTTTCTTTTGTTAACAATCATGACATATGCATACACAGATTCATGACATGCTTCTTGTTTATCTGGACAAAACTGAAATATTTCCATACTAATACACACTCACTCAAAAACAGCATACCGATTTATCACTCTCCCATGTGTCCATGACAATCAGTGTTGTTTCCTCTCCATCCACCATCAGTGTCCGCTCATATGTGTCCTCTGTAAGGAACAATAAATACAGGCACATAAACAGCTGATAAAATTTAATGTTTAATATCTCTTATCTCTTATGTTGTTATGTTGGATTTTAGTTTTGGATTCATTCATATAAAAAGGTTTTGACTTTGAGATGTCTTGTTGCTGACATGAGATATAACAATAAACTTGACTTGACCCTTGTGTAAAAGATTATTTGATTCTTTTCTCTTTTTCCAATGTGAATGCTTTTCAAATTACTCTGGCAGTTATGAGAATTAAAATATTTGATCTTATTTATAACAAACCCTTTTGTAAAAGGTTGATGCTAATAAATAAACTGAACAATATGTTTTTTATACTTATCTTGCCATTTAATGCTGCTCCTTTTGGATGACTTGTTGCCATATTAGAAAACATTATTTTGTCAGTTCAGGATAGTTTTGTGAGACTGATGTAATGATAATAACATAACATGCTCATACAACAAAAAATCTTAATTTTTCCCTGACTTTTTGCTACACAGTGAAATAAATTTACTGTGGAATTACTTTCACTATAGCTGATGATATTTAGTTTCTGTTTGGTTATTAAAGTTACAACATTTTGCAGGCTTTTCTTGTTTTCTTGTTACCATTCATAAAAAAAGATTAACTCCAAGTATTATCTTTATCATTTGACTTTAAGATAACTGAATTCTATGGTCTTAAAATGTATTCAAGTAAACCTAAATTGAAAAACATAGTCTGAGATAAAAATGAAAAATATAAATCTTTAGAAATCACAAATTCTAGACTGCTAGACCTAAGCAGATATGTATTTTCCGAGGGTGAAATCAGATTATGGTGTCTACTGGACTGGTTAAACACAAACTTGTTCATGTTATTTATGTTTTTTTTTTTTTCTATTTTATTTACAATCTCTTGGGAAAAAAAATGTTGAGTTCAGTTGATTAGATTACATTTAAATTGAACTATTAACTTAATGGAAATATCAGCTTAAACTAAATTGATGAATCTTCAAAGTGAAACTGATTTCTGAAAAGCCTCAATTATGGCCAAAAACTGGACACAAGTTCTAAAAACTTAAACACATCTACCACCTCAATGACTGTTGAGACAAATGAGAAAACAGTAACAGGACAAATAATCTCAGAGTCAACAATATGTACAAAATGCTAAATAAAACCCAGAGTTAATTCACTACAACTAACAGCACACCAGCCCTGTCCTCACAGTATGTCAGACTGTGAATGGATCAATATGGGTTGCCAATCATTGCCAGAGGCCCAAAGTCACATGACACAAGAGCTCATCAATAATGTCGGGCCAGTCAAGGTTGCCATACCTCAACAAAGTCAAAGATACTGTGGACAAATCAGCGTTTACTGCATCCATGTGATGTTTTGTACACCAAAGACTGCATATTGTGTGTAAAAAAAACTTTGTACAAGTAAAATCTAAAATGCTGCTTAAGATGGATGTCTTTACACTGTCTGGTAACTATGGTGCCAACAACAGCATTTTTTGGGAAGAATATCAGGGGCATAGTGACTACTCCATACTAATGTCCTGTATATGTATTTTATTTTAACATATGAATTTACCTTCATACCTATTGTTGCTTTTCATAGTGAGTCAACTTTATATGTCCACCTACTGTTTCATAAAAAATCAGAATTTATTTACTTATATCTAGCATTATTTGTAGCTTTTACCTGTATGTGTCACTTCAAGATTTTAAGTAATCGTAAATTCTTAACATATATTTTCAGATGCAAAGCAGCTGTGATTGTAGCTGTTGTCAGTCAGAAGAATAAGGGCCACTGAGCAGGCTGTGGGGGCCATATGGTGCCAGGAGTCAATCGGTCATTGTAAGGACTGATGGCAGATGCTGAAACAGCTATGCATCTAGAGAAAGAGTGGCAAGGTAAACACAATGATCATTGTTTCCACTTTCCTCATGCTTCATTTCCTGTGAATGATGCTGAGAACTTTGGACCCTGTCATTACTGATGGAAACCAGAGTTTACAAAGATATTTACACATTGCAATGAATTGAACATCTTGTTTAATGAAAAAGCAATAAATTAAGGCACTGCTGAAAACATGAAAGCCCACTGACTACTAATTTATTAAAGAGTTCCACAAACAGCATCCCACCTCCAGGTTGATCATCTTTCTCAGTGATTCCAGCAAAGATGCCTGCAAGGCTGGTCTTTCCGACACCATGGTCGCCAAGCAACACCACTCTGTAAACACACTCTGATTCACTCTGTGAGTCGTCATCCGAGTCAGAACTCCAGTGAGCGCGGTAGTGCAGGGACTTGTCCCCGGGATGGTAAGATGCTGACTGCCCTAAAGGAGGGTGGCTGCGAGTTGGACCAGGACACTCCGGCTGTGTGCTCAGGGATCTTCGAAGGTCCCAAGTCCCACTTAGCTGCTGATAGAGGGGAGAAATTGGTGTGCTCCCACGACGCCGCAGAGGCTCCTTATCTCTCTCAGTGTTAAGGGTCATAATGTTATGGTAACAGCATCAGGACGGGATTAGCCTATAAGAAAAAATGTAACAGATTCAGTTTTATGATCATTTAACATGAGACGTATGTTAAAAGCATATCCAGGGCAGTTCTTGCGAAACACTGATCTTAGTTAAACTCTCAGATTCTGTAAAATGAGATTTCATCCTTCTTAAACCCAAAAATATGCAAACTCTCAATGTGGCAGCCTGTACACTGAAAACTTGACCCTTCCTCTTCACTTTGAGTGCAGCTTCTTTAGGACTCACAGAGAAAGCAGTGCAACTTTGGTTTCATTAAACACAGTAGTAAACATGACAATAGTCTGATAAATTTATGATTCAGTCACAACGTTTATCTTCTAAAGCAAGTGAGTCACATTGCTGCATAACATCACGCAGTCCATTCTCTCTGCTGACAGACACCAACAGATATATATTTGGGAAAGATAGGTGAGATAGAGGTGGACAAAAAGGTAAGGAGGAACAATTATACTGATGTATTTCAAAGTACCTTACTTTGCCTCAAACAATACTTAGACTATATGAGATTTTATTGTGACTCACAAATAAGTCAAATTTCTAGTATTTTCTGGCAACAACTCTTTGCCCTCAATTTCAGAAAAGTCCAATTCTTCAACAGCTTTATGCCAATCAATGAATCAATGAATAAATGAATGAATAAATGAATGAATGAATGAATCAATCAATCAATCAATCAATCAATTAATCAATCAAATTTTATTTGTATAACACATTTCTGCTGCAAGGCTTTTCAAAGTGCTATGTGGTAAGAATATTGATGGTATTATTACCAAACAATCTGAAATTTCATGAAGCTATTTGTCTCTTAAGTGTTTTCTTCATCTTTCAGATGCCTTTGTGAGATATTGTAGATCTAGTTTGCAACAAAATACTTAATTGACAAAAGTATCAAACTATGCAAAATAATATATTTTTTAACCTTGTTATATTTTTTATAATATTTTTGATACTTCTGGGGTTTTTCTTCTACGTTTCCCTGGGTTTGCATGTGTTGTATTCTAGTACGTTTTATAAAGGAACATCAAAGTTTTTCAAATGGGCTTTGTGGAGTATTTTCAGTAGTCAGTTGTTTAACTGCAGTGAATGCCTCTCATGATAATCATACTTTTTTGGAAATTGAAAAACTTCTCATGGGTGCAGGAATCTAACAGATACTCAGAGCAGGAAAAGTATCTTAAAGACTGAATTTATCATAAATGGAATGACTCAAATCTCATTATGAGACAAATATGAGATTTGAGTCATTGCATCAGACTGTTGTTTATTTTGTGTGTTTTTTTTCAAGGGATCCACATCTTTGTCTTGATGCTGATACTGAGTTGGAATTTTTTTGTTTGTCAGTTCTTTCTCTATAGAAAATATAACTATGCTGATTACACCCATTACTGCTCATTTTTAGTATATATATTTATTTATTTTTGGAATAAGTCTGACTCACATTTTATCCTTTGCAAAAATACTCAAAGTCTTCTCTGCATAAACTTATGCATAGCAAACAAAAAGACTGTTATATTTGAAAAGTTTTAACATGAACAACATTTTGAAGAATGTGCCTATCTGTATTGGGAATATTTTTTCCAATTACACCGATTTATTTTAAAAGGTAGAATTTTGATCTAGATTCTACTGAGTTAGATAGTGACTACTAATAACTATTCTTGACAACTACACTTACGACATACTTGGCCAAAAGAAAGGGATTCTGGTTTGTTGATTTATAAGTCAGCTGCCTCATTTCTTTACAGAGCCTTTTCTTTTGTCTGATTTAAAGTTAAATGGGTGTAGTTTTTATTCACTAAACAGCTGGTTCTACTATTATATTCTCTGCTTATTTGAATTGAAACTGTCCTCACAAACTAATCAAACTCCACACAAAAGTTGATTGACATGGAAAACAACAATGACTCAAATAATTAACACTAAACAGTATTGGCAAAAGGTTATTTGTAAGATAGAAAAATTTACAATACATGAGCTATGCAGGACACAGCAGCAACACTTAAACAAACCTCCTGCAATAAATAATTCAAGCATTTAAAGATGCCAAGAATGGCAGTCAGGATGGTGACTGCCAAGAGCTATACAGTTGTAGTCCAAGCATAAACCATGAACAAGCCAGCTCTCTACTTTAAAATTATTCAGCTTATTAAAGAAATTAGACTTATCGGTTGACAGCGAAGTTGTCAATATTCATAACAATCCCGAAAGTAATAAAACATGTACACAACTTAACAAGTTAAGATATTTTTTTATTAACTTTCTTTATGCCAGACTTATGCATTAGGTAACAAGAAATCTCAAGAAGAAACAGAACGTACACAAATTTATATAGAAGTCCACACAGGAAATGGACTCTGTGTGAGACTAAAAGTTCTACCATGTATGTTAGATATCATTAGCTCATATTCACTAAAATTAAGTACAGATATATAGTCATCACTTCACAGCTAATATAACAATTGAAAAGATGTACAGTATTACAAGTTTTATGATTTCTGTCTAGGTACAGGAACTGCTTAACATACGCAGCGCTTATAAGGATACAGAGCAATGTCAATCAGTTGATTTAAATATCTGGACCTACCATACATTCCATGCACGGTCCGGGTCAGTGCAGCCTCAGTAAACAACAGAAAAGAGTTGAGCCCGGTCTCCCTGTCTTTGTCAGTGTAATAGTACCCCGGTGCCACAGTAACCCTGGCTGGAAAAAAAAAAGTTCCACAACAGCGTTAAAAATTCAGCAGCGGAATCACAGTTATCAGCCTCCCTCTGTGTGAGTGTGTGTGCAAGAGAGACAGCAGAGCAGAAACAGATATCTGAGGAGGGAGAGTGTGCAGGACTTTTATCAGAGTGGAGGGTGAGCTGCTTTAACAAACATTTTTGGTCACTTCCTGCTTGATCTAAAAGACGCAGTTTAACTACATGAAACAACTTGGGTTGACTTACATCTTTTCTTCTGTTCTAAATTGTTTAAAAAAAACATTAAAAAAAACCCCAATATATTTTCTTTTGAAGGAACATTACTTCTGTTTTATTGTTTGCTGAAAGTGTTAGATTTCCCAGACTAACACAGATAACAGCAGTAGATCAAATTGTTAGCTGAAGATTAAATATTTTCTGACACAATGAAGAATCCTTTTTTTATCCCTTACCCTCATGGAAGTCATATTAGCTGGCTGGACTATAGAGCTAACAAGATATGGATATTAGTTCAAATTTGAAGTTGATAAACAAATGTATGCATTTGCCACAGAGTGATTCCATATAAAACAGATGCTAGTATTATTATTAATTTGACAAAAACTAGTCAAGTGTGTTGCAGTGGTATCCAAAGTGCAGCTTGGCGGTCGTTTGAGGCCCCTGAAATAAGTTTGTGCGGCCCCTGACTGGAATTCAGGAGTGATCAAAATCTGGCCCTGAAGGCTTTTCACTTTTGAATAAAATTAAATAGTCTATACCTGTTTAGCTTTTTATCAAGTTCAGAGGTCCCCAAAGCACTTCACACTACATTCAGTCATTAACCCATTCACACACACAGTCTTGGCTAAATAAATGAGTGATTTCAAAAAAATAGTGATCTAAATCCTATTAATTTTTGTATTTTTTCCAACTAAGCTCAAATGAATTAACAAATGGAATCCTCTTTTTTAAGGCAAATGTGAAATCCTTTATGTATGGAAGCTACTATACAGACTTAGTTTATTGTTGTGTGGAACTGTGATTTTTTAAACATTTGTTTCGCCCATAGGTGCTTTTTACCTCATGATTTTGGGCCTTTGGATTTCTGAGACCTCTGGTATAATGGGTCCAGGACATATTGAATGCTGAGACCAATTGTGTGTAATTAAATCTCAGTATAAGGCCCTTTTTTTCTGTGAAGGCGTCAGAAGAGTGTTTAGCAATCCTCTGATTCTAAACAGTCCTCTGATGGGACAAACCAAGTTTAACTGTCCGAGGAATTTTGCAAGGAAAAAATTATTTCTCTCTAAGAAAACCATGAAGTTCAGACTAAAATGTGCCACACAGAACACTGGCAGAGATTAAGACATTAGAAAATCTTTATTCTACATGTTAAGTTAGATTATTTGGACCTCACAACAGCCACTGAACTGTCTGACAAATTATAAATTTGTGCAACTGTCAATGCCCTAAGATGCCGTAGAGTGACTTGAAATAATGGATAATACATTCAAGAAATCTGCCCACCCGAGACTCTGTGTGGTGTTTCCAAGTTCACCTTGTGCAAGCACAGTTACTTCACAGTCCAAAATCACTACTAGGTTAATTGATCTCGGAGATGGGTTGTTTGTCCTGTGTGCTTCTATAATGTGCTAATAAATTGACTCATGACCTATTCAGGGAATGCAACAAATCTGGACTGATAGCGCCTGGAGGTGGGCACTACATAGACAATATATGTGTGGATGTATTAGATAAATACATTTCTTCTAAAATTTCACAATTTCATAGGGAAGTTTTAGTTGGTATTTTGACTTTTATAAGATTTAATTAATTAAAGTTGTGAGAAATGGTGGTAAACCAAAAAAAAGGAGGTGAATTCAATAAGAAACTGTCGCAGGAAGCTAGAAAATTTAAAGGCCATAGACTGATCTTTAAGAAGTAGGACCAGACTGTTCTGCATAAATCAGTTTACAGATGAATCAGATTCATTTTCTCACAACCTTATTAAAGAAATGATTACAAATTCAGTACAAATTAAAAACACTGGTTATTTCAAAATTATAAGAGTCTACTCTGACATGTTTGCAGGAAAAGTGTCAAACATCAGTGCTAAACTTTGCATAGTTTTTCTGGCATAAATGGCTTTCCATTTCTTACATTTGTAACATGATGGAAAATTAGATTATAGAGGGCACACAGTACTTCCTCTGTGTCAACATGAGTGAATGAATCTCAACACATCACAGATGTTGAGATATTGTCCACCCCCACGCAGTTCAAAGGTTTAAGTGTGAGAGGAAGTATTTCCATAGTCTCTACACCATAAATACTCTGCTTTAAAAGCTGCAGAAGCTAGTTGTTTTTTTTTTATTTTTTATATATCTATAAAAGATGAACTCAATCAGATTTTTCCAATAAGTACATAGGGAAGCTGTTTGCTGTTTCTTTTAAGCAAACCAACATAATAACTTATTATTTCTTAATAAGTGTGCAGCTTAGCAGCTGCTCTAACTAATATTTGTCTTCCAAGTTGGTTTAAAACTTGAGCTTCCATTCCTTCCAGATGACTCATTTTGGAAAGCAGATCTCATCCTTATCAGCTGAAGAGACATACACAGCGCTGCAGCTTTTGAAATAGATGAGCAGAATGATTCATTTATTGTCATTACCCCTATTGCTCTGGTATTAAAAGTTTTGAATTAGTGTAACTCATTTTTATCCCTTCATTAACTAAAATAGTTTTGTATGTTGTAATGTTAGTTTTTATGATTCCCTGCTACACATGGAACATTTTATTTTATTGAAACGATGCCTTTTTAGGAAGAGAGAGTCAATTGAGGTCTTTATAGTGTTAATAGTATCTCTACAGCATTAATCACCGCTGCCTGGGTGAAATCACTAAGGTTTATTTTCACTGTAAATGAGCAAGGTGACCATTTTTCTGCAGATGTTTTGCGCTTGCTCCATTTTTTAAGTGAATGTTTATATATGCAAAGCAATTCAGCTACATTTTTGTAGAGGACCATTTTTGTAGAGGACCACCTGTAATGATATGCAATGCTGAATTAAGCCAGAAGTCTGTTAACCTCATCCAGATTGTGTGATTAAACAACAATAAGTTCCAGAAATGTGTTTCTTTGTTGCTTTAACTCACATGGGAACTAAAGTTAAGATCTACATAGCAACAAGAATAATCATCAATCCTCTTTTTGAGGTTCAAAGAATAATTTTAAGAATATGTGTGAATTTGAGAATATTGCTTCTCCTACATGAGTACATTTTTGATACAATGTTTATTAAAATAGATTAATTCTAATAAAACTTCATGTAGTGTTCAATAAAGTTAGAGTAACATAATGTATATTAACTTCTACTGCCCCCATGTGGTGTTATCAATACATTTATTTATTTGCTGCTATTGATCACAAATGAATGAGAACAGTCATTCCCTAAATATGGGGTTTTCAGCTCCTACTTACAAATTAAACTAAATGACAGAAATAACAATTGTAAAGCATCTTTATGCCATAATCTACAAAAAAGAAATAAAAACTAAAACATCTTTGCCTCTATTTTTTTAGCTTTTTTTTTTTTTTTTTTTTTTTTAGCTTTTACATAACTTAAAAATTATATCAAATATCAATATGTCAACAGGTTGTTGTAAAGATTCTCACATGATACATACAATATCCCAAGCAGAGGATTTTAAGTATCTTGTGCTGTTCATGAAAAGGACAGGCAGATAGGGGCCTCATCTGCAGTAATTAATGTCGCTGCTGCTCCAATCTGTTGGGTGAAGAAACAAAGAGCTGAACCAAAAAGTGAAGGCAAGACAAGAAAAGTTTATTTGTGTAGCACATTTTAGCAACAAGAAAATTCAAAGTGCTTTACATGATAAAGCTCTCGGTTTACAGGTCCATCTATGCCCTGATCTGCAGCTACTGTCATGACAGCTGAATAATTGAAAAGAGCAACAGCCCAGATTTTTTTCATTCTGTAGCATCAGCCATCTTCTGCACCATTGGCTGTTGCAGCATCAGTGTATCTACATCTGAGAGGCAGCGGTTAGATAAACTCATCAGGAAGTCCAGTTCTTCCGTAGATGCTCCCTCGATCCAGTGCAGGCTGTGGGAGACAGAAGACTCTAAAATAACTTCACTAACTTCTCCCACCTAATGCATGAAGCTGTTGCTGAACTTAAGGGCTCCTTCAGACTGCAGCATCCTAGGTGCACAAGGAAGCATTATAGGAGGTCCTTCCTCCAAGAAGCTGTTAGTCTCTTTAACCATGACTGCCCTGACTTCAAATAATTTGAAAGGAATGAATAGATGTGGTTTTGGTATCTGATCGGGATGCCTCCATGTGCCTCCCTTTGGAGTCGGGGAAGACCCAGAATTTGCTGGAGCAACTACCTTGTCAAGCCTAGGAACGCATTTGGATACCCCCAGTATTGTGTCTGCATGTGTGTGTATTGTTGTGTATTGTCCATGCGACCAAATTTTGAATGAGTGGAAGGAAAAGACTAATGGATGGATGGACGGATAGATGGATGTTTAATATCCAAGTGCAATACCGCATCAAACTTTAGCAAAGGAGTAAGGAAGTGTATTCTTACTAGGATATTACACATGCTAGTAAGCAACTTTCTTCTTATTGTTTTCAGGGTTTTTATTACATAACACTAAAATAATTTCAGGCAGAAACTCAATTTGCTTCCCCACATTTTCTGTAGCTAAATTATGAAAATGTATTATTATATTTCTACAATATTTTCCATGCTGAATTGTTGTCATTATGATCAAGAAAGATTTCTTCTTTACTTGTTTCCTCCAAACCAAACACCAAGAAATCATCACATTCCTCCAAGAAAATTTTAATTCAGCCAAAAACAGTTTTAAGATATTTTCTTCCTGTCATACTTGTATTTAGACTTCATTTAAAGGGGAGTTTTGTGCAAGGCATATTGTTTCATCTCAATTTCAGTGTTCACCAATGGACACTGTGTATAAAATCTGTTTTATAATAGATTGCTGATAATGAGGCTAGTCAGTCTAACCTCATCAACAGGTTAGACAGATTCATTTTTAAACAAGAAGTCGTGATTGTCACAAGA